TTTGTTCTTTCGTATCTTTCGTACTTTTTTTATTTTGCTTTCTTTCGTTCATTTGTTTTTCTTTCTTTTCGTTTTTCCTTTTATTCTTCTTCATCTTGGTTTTTTTTTTTACTCTTCGTTCTTTCTTTTGTTTCTTTAATTGCTTCATCTTTTGTGTTTTTTTCGTTCTTTTTTACCCTTTTGTTCTTTCGTATCTTTTGTACTTTTTTCATTTTTCTTTCTCTTTTTCTTTCGGTTTTATTTTTCTTTCTATTTTTAATTTTTTTTGCTAGTCGTTTTTTTATTCTTCTTTTTCTTCATCTTGTTTTTTCTTTTTATCCTTCATTCTTTCTTTCGTTTCTTTATTTTCTTCGTCTTCTTTCATTCTTTTATCGTTCCTTTTTTCCTTTCTTTGTTCTACCTTTTTCTTTATCTTTTTTTTTATTCTTTCGTTTTTTATTTATTCTTTTCTTTTTTTTTCTTTGCCTTACCTTTTTCCCCTTTCTTTTTTTCGTTTTGGTTCGTTTCTTTTTCTCTTTTTGTTTCTTCTTTTCTCCATTTCTTGCTTTTTTTTATTCTCTCCGTTTCTTTTTCTTTGTTCTTTTTCCCTTCGTTCTTTCTTTTTTTTCCCTTTCGTTTTCTTTATTCCCTTTCGTTACTTTTCTTTATTTCTTTATTTTTCTTTCTTTTAATTTTGTTTTTTGTCATTACCTTTTTTATTCGTTTCTTTTTTCTATTTTCTTTGTCTTTTTCTTTGCTCTCTTCATTTCTTTTTCTTTGTTCTTTTTTCCTTCGTTTTTTTTCTTTTCTTTCCCTTTCGTTTTCTTTCTACTCCTCTTTATTTTTTCTCTTTTCATTTTTTTCATTGTTTTTTTTTCATTTCTTTTTGTTACTTTATTTTTTCTCCTTTACCCTTTTGTTAATTCTTTCATTTTTTCTTTTTCTTCCCCATTCGTTTTTTTTCTTCATTTGTTATTCTTTGTTTCTTTTTTTTTGCCTTGTTTTTCTTTTTGTCTTTTTTCTTTTGTTTCTTTTTCTTTTCTTTGTTTTTTTTTCTCCATTTTTTTTCATTATTTTTTTTCTTCATTTCTTTTTTCTTTTTGTTTCATTTCTTTTGCTTTCTGGTTTTTTTTTTTGTTTTTTTCGGTTTTCTTCTGCTTTTTTTTTTCTATTTATTTTTTTGTTTCCTTTGTTTTTTTTTTTAATAATTACTAATGAGCTTCTTTTTTTTTATACAATCTGATCTAAGTTGTTGTTGCTGGTGCTGTCATTATTGGAGCTATTTGATTTGTAGTTGTTGGAGTTGTTATAAGTTTTCCTACAGTTTTTTTTTTCATGTATTTATTAATGTATTCTCTTCTAGATATAATTTCATTTTTGGGTTGAAGTTTTTGTAGTTGGTATTACTGCTTTTGGTATTAAAACTTTGTCATTGGTGTTGTTTTTGGTAAAGATTTTGTCAAATTTGGTTGTAGATTTTGGTT